CGCTTCACCATAATTCACCTGAGGGAAGCTCTCTTCAAAGAGAATTTGCTTAAGAATTCAATCCGCGTCTATAAATTTCCCGATTGTTATTTTTCATCCGAAAATAAATCGTAACCGACCTCGTTTATATCGGGAAATATTTCGCGTTTATCTATCACTTAGTTATACGCAAATGAGCTTCTCTCAGCAAAGCAATGAGCAGCTTCCAATGAAACGAAACGCGTAAATCTTATGCTTATCGCACACACTGGCGCTTTAACGCGGCTCGTGCATTACAACCCAAGCTAAGCACCACTGTCCTGTAGGCCTTACAGCTGAGACAAGCCAGATACATTTAATGACAGCCCACGGATATATCATTGTTGTAACCGTAACACTTTTACGATATGGCGGGAACGCCCAACGATCAGTGGCTTAACTTAGGTCAAGAGAAAGTAGAAGTGTACAAGGCCTCCTTGGATCAGTTAAATTAGAATATACACTTCTTTTCTTTTTAATATAACAATAACACATTGGAATTGCTTAAAAATTAAGAACAAAATAAGAACAAATTGAGGCTGAGGTAAAATGCCAAATGAGATTTTATTAAAAATAGAAAAACCGAAAACCTATATCTGTACGTTATGTGCAGTGGTGTGACTATAATACGCTCTATAATACAGTACAGAGGTGTACATATCTGCCATTCGCGGCCACTTTTACCGGGACCTTTTTTTCTGGGGACATTTTTCAGGGGCCCTTTATTTAGGGGTCATTTTTTCTAGGGCCACTTTTACCTACATTCCAGTACAGTGTATACTGGTACAATAATATTTTTTTATGTTGTGTAACAAAAGAACAAAATAAGAACATTTTGAGCCTGAAATCGGCCAAAAATAAGAACACTGAATCTGGGCAAAATTCTACTGGTTTTCATTTAAAAAAAAAGTGTAGAAATTAAAAAAAAAATTTGGTCATTTCAGATCTCTGTGGGGCAGAAACATAATCATGCGATTGAAGAATGTTTATTATTTACAGTATATTCTTGTTACACTACAGGCCCCCCCCCCAAAAAAAAAAAAAACGAAAAAAGAACGCGTTTCCGTAGAGTAAATGCAATGTAGGCCTAAATACAATAGATTCCAAATTATCTAATTTTCACTCCGTTCGCTCAAGTCTTGAACCCGTCCTGTCACGGAAATATTTTATGAGAAGGGAGTAATTATATTATTCCCGTCTCATAAAATAATATTATTCCCTTCTCATAACATAGTATGTTTTTAAAAATGGATTAATTGCATTGTGTGAAAAGGGGTACATGTTCAATAAGGTATAGAGAATATTCAAAGATATAGTTTTATTGTTGAACGCAACGATGAAATATCGGTCGAAAACAGCTGCGATTAACCATGGAATTAGGCTAGTACTTTCCTAACCCTCACCTGTGTGCTAATTCAGAGAAGAAGATAATAGCACATCTAAAGAGAACAAAATCAAGTTAATGAATAATATTGTTGACGGTTAGTTTTAAGCACTACTTAACAAGCCAGGCAATAATACCCCAGCCCCGAAGAATTCGGTCACTCCCCCGGGGCATCAGTAAAAAGGACGCGTAGAAACGCGGTCAAATGAATACTGAGCTTGCGGTTTTAAAATGTAATAAAAATTATCTTAGCGTCGCGATCAGAATGGAAGTACTAACGTATCTAGCCGAGTAAAAAGAAGCTTTGATAAGTGTGTCAATGGGCATGCGAGGTGGTAAGTAATGGCCTAGTCTACCGGGATTGAACTTATTAAATTACCACTGCTCTTTGGAGGCCTAGCTACATAGGTTGGTTGTTAAATCACTATTAGGTATATCATTGAATTATTATAATCATAATTTTCTTTATTTTTAAGAATTTAGAAGAATTTATTTTTTCGAAGATTGTGTCAATAGGCCAAAATATATCAAAGGCGATAACTTATTTAATTAAAAATAAAGGAGTTTTGTGATAACGTAATTTATTTTTATTTCGCCTTATGTATGTTTTTATCTAGTAGTTAAGATTTCAAGTGTCAACAGGAAAAAATTCATGTATACTTCATTGTAAACGTGACAATAAAGAAAATCTTATCTTATCTTATCTAATTGTATTTTCAAAAATATATTTGAGTAGGACTCCCACCCCCTACCCTATATAGGCCTATTATTTTTTTCACAGACCGTATCATTGTAAGTAATAGACCTTCCCAGTGTGTCAATCAAATTAACGAACGACCAATCAGGAAAGGGCCCGTCCCACAAACACATGTTAACGTACGACTAAAGCTAGGCTCCGTAGCAATTTTGGTATGTTGTAAAACTGATTTTTCTAGAAGACACAAAAAACATATTTTACGAAAAATTCGGGAGCGGTTAATGAGATACAGATTTTTGAATATTTAAAAATTGGGGAAAATGTGCAAAAAATATGGTTACGCCCCTTTCTCCCCAGTTTTCAAATATTCAAAAATTTGTATCTCATTAACCGATTCCGAGTTTTTCAAAATATGCTTTTCTGTCTTACAACAAATTAAAATTTTCTTTTTTCTCCGAAGCCTGGCTTTAATTTTGTGGTACATTAGCAATATTGTCCAAGAGGTGGAGCTACTAGGCAGCGGCCTATTTTGTTTTTTTTTATTAGTTGGTATTTATATAACGCCTTTTCTTTAGGTTAGAAAGCTCTCTGTTTTCCCTGGTCATTGGGTCCATATATAGCGCAGTAGCAGGCAACCCATTTATACTCATGGGCGGAGAGAAGCGCAGATAAAGTGCCTTGCACCGAGGGATTGAAACCCCGCCCTCTCGAGGTTGAGAAACCAAGCCGTTCCCACTGCTTCCAACATGTCTATACTTTCGAAATTTTAAACATTGATATGCTATAATAAAAAGTCAAGAATAAAATGACGCTTGTTGGTTTTTTTTTTTATAGAAAATTCTTGCTTCCAGAAGTTAAATATGTAAAATAAGTACAGTATTAGTACAAGCAGAATAATTGGCCCCGCAGGAATGGAACCAGCGACCACTTGAATCACAGTTTGTGAATTCGAGCTACTTATCAAGATAATAATAGCCCCAGTATTTTCTCAACACATTCCACTCTTGGTTTAATATTTGATAAATGTATTAAAATCAGACTCCGGGGAAAAAAAATTAGAACTGAATTTTCTAAGACAGGAAAAAAGTAGTTTGATCAAAAACTGAGCAACGGTGAATGAGATACAGATTTTTGAATATTTAAAAACTGGGGAAAAGGGTGTAAAAATTGGCGGTTACGCCCCTTTTCCCCCCAGTTTTTAAATATTCAAAAATCTGTATCTCATTCACCGTTCACCAGTTTTTCGTCAGACAACTTTTTTCTGTCTTAGAAAAATCAGTTCTACAACATATCATTTTTTCCCCTCCGGAGCCTGAATTTAAAGGATACCGGGTACGGTATCTAAAAGATGCATGGGAAAAACGAACATATGTTTTAAATGACCCTGCTAAAAATGTTTTTTTTTCTTCTTACTTTGCATGATTTTATGCATAGGCATTAACTGTACTTCTATTATGTATTTGATATGTATGTTTTTGCATCCATTACACATTGCGTTTATTATATTATGTTTTGTTTTTATTTATTTACCGTATTTATTTTTATTTATTTTATTTTATTTATTTTTTCATTTTAGTTTAAGATTTTATACTTCAGTATATTATTTTTATTGCATTTGGATTTAAAAAAAATTTCATTACTATTATCTCTTTTTTTATGAATTTTATTTTTATTTGTTAACTTTTGTTCTGTTGTATGATCGAACCTCTCCTGCTTTGAAAGAGTGAGCCAATAAATTATTATTATTTTCAATCCCGGCCCGGCCTCTGCTTTCAAAAACGTCTGAAAGAGCCATTTCTAGGAGGAAAAGGTGTCTAGTTTTGGAGGTATCGGAATTGTTACAACTATTTTGTATATGAGTAGATTTTTAGGGTGCAAGTTTATTTTATCGCCCATCCTTCTCAATCAGATTTCCTCATCTTTACAAAACAAGGCCTATCATAGTCGATGTTGAAACACCAAAGCTAACAATAGGACTATTAGGAAGGAGGGCCTACAAAAGAGAATGGGTGAACTGACATTGAATAAACTTAGGACATAATTTATGTCGGCCCGCCGCTGGTCTCAACGAATTGGAAGTACCCGGGCGGGATACTGTACCGTATATAGCTTACTCTCGCCCTAGTTCTGGTTCTGGTCCTGGTGGGTAAAGCCGACCTCTTAAGGACTCCAAAAGTGTAGGAGTATAACAGGAGGGGTATAAATAGGGTCCAATGATAGGTCCACCACCGCAGTTTAAGTTCAATTCGCTACGGCATTTAACCTATTTATGAAGACGCGCGCAGCCAGGGAGCACCATTACCTAAAATAATTGAATTTTCATTTTATAAGGATATCCTGTTCAGTATATCTACTTTTCTCCCAACATGCCCCAACGCTTTGATAATAAAACCTTTAATATAACTAAACCTTTAATAACCAAGTCTCATAATGTGTAGCTTTACTCGTGAGAAAAAAAATCCATGTTGTCACAGGAATTGAACCCAGGGCCTTCGGAGTGGAAGACAAGTATCTATAACCACCAAAGCATTCTCCACTCCATTCAAAATGTTGTGTCTGTTGGTTATGAATCTTTATACAGGCCCCCGGTATAGGCCCTAATTATAGTCATAAGTACAGCACTTCACCTATATTACACACCAGTATGTGACGCTCTAGTTTCTATTTTGTCTTGTTAAGCTCTAAAAAAAAACATCTTTAAACACCTCAATCTTCTCATAGATAAATAGGGCCTAGCTCATGTTTCCTTGGCTCACGTACGAGATTGGCAGGGTTGCATGTATGCGTGTATGTAGTACGTTTCTTGGTTGTTTTAGGAGTATCTTTATTAGCATACTAAATCTGCAAATTATAACCTTAACTGTAATAAAAGTCACCCAAAAGAATTTAATGACTAACTTGTTAGTTCTATCTGTTGTATAAAAACTTTATTAGTCATGTCAGTCAACACTCAATGTACCTAGATAGGCAAATGTCGTGAAATCATCCATTGGAACCCTTAAAAGATTTTCGTCGTTTAATTCGCCTCGTCACGTTTATATTCCACTCGAATTTTAACGCCCCAAATGAGCATAGAAACAACACCATGATTTCACCAATGAGTTACTCTACACTTACTCTACACAAGTTGTTTTTATATAAAACCCTATAATTAGATTGCTAACCTGGGACCTATGATCTTACACAGTATCACTTGTTGACAAAAAAAAATTGATTTTACTCTACATTTTCAGTATGATGGCCGTTTGAGTATTTTATGTAATTTTATATATATATATATATATATATATATATATCTGTCTAAAAAAAAAAAAAAAAAAAACAAAACAAAACTTCACTGCCCTTCCCATTTGTTTCTGCTGCACTATCTATACAGTCATGCAGGCTGGAATATTACAATATTAGGCCTAATAGTGGTAATTTGCTTATTCCTCTGTTCAGAAATTTGATATTCATAGATTAACGACTTGATATGATAATGTTGATAAAAACAATTTGAACGAGAAAGTACATAAAGATGTACTATACCTTGCAAAATACCAAAGGAAAAAAAAAAAAAATCATAAAAATCTTTTTTGAAATTTACTTGCTGATTTTTAAAAAGTAACATAAAAAATATCAACTTGAATACAGAAATTAGTGTATTTTAAAAATGTGTACTCATATTTACAGCAAAAAATGATAGAAACACTTCCAGTTCCAACTACACATGAAGGAATACCACCTGGCTGTTGTTCTTGCACCGCTGTTTGCCCTGCGCTGGACCCCCCTGTAGAAATGTAGGCCTCATTCTAACATTGATCCTCTACCGTACGTTTATTTCTTATTGTTCTATGAAGTATATATTTGTCACCTGGTAGATCTGTCCATGGAGGAATACCTATGATCTATTTGTCAATTAATTGACTTAACAAAAAAAAAAAAAGCAGTCTGTTGTTATTTGAAAAATACATAATTTCTATGCAGATTTTTGTATGATCAGAAAGAAATGCTAGTGGGACCCCCTACTTTGAAAAATGTTCCGCCGGCCCTGAATATTTAATACTCTAGACAAGGAGTTGTTTATATCTGGGAACTAGACTGCTATCCTGGGATCTATCATGATCATATAAAACATAATGTACTCTACATTTCCAGTATGGAGGCCGTTTGAGTATACAGTATTATGCATTCATTTTACATAAAAAAATAAACACTCCCTCCTTGATTAAACTCCTTTCAAAACCACCAGATTCTGTTAAAGTCCTGTTATAATAAGCGTTTATATTCGAATAAATATGGTAAATAGTTCAAAGTTCAAATGGAAGACGATTTATAAGTACAAATAGGTCACTCATGGCACATAATTTTTCGAGATTATGAAAAAGATCATGACTACAAATTATTAATCAAATTTCACTAAGTAATAATCTTAGGCTAAAGCAGCATGGTATTCAAATGGCAATTATTTAGCGCCGTTTAACATTTAATGTCCTCAACTTGATGTGAGACGATCGTGGATAGGTCCACAGTACAATCAAACCAGAAATTAGTTAAAAACTGAGGCTGTTGAGAAGGAAGAAAAATCTATATTTTATGCCTTGTTCAACAGATTTTTCTAAGACTGAAGGCAAGTGTTTGACAAAAAAAACCTGAAAACACATTCATAATATACTGTAACGATTTTTAAATATTTAAATTAACAACGATGACTGTTTGAATAGAGCATTATAAATGGAAAGATTGATTGATTGAAAAAATTGGTGCAAAAGAGTGGTTACGCCAATTTTCGCCCAGTGTTTTTTGTCAAACACCCCTTCCAGTGTCTTATCTTAGAAAAATCAGTTCCACCAGATTTCATTTTTCCCATTTCACAACATGGCTTTAAGGATATAATTACACCAAACAATCTGAAAGTAACATTAACATTAAAATAAAAACTTTAAATTACTCCTTTAAAAGAACCATATAATTTAAGCATCAACAAACAAATTTCATGTACTGTATATATATAAATTTTATGTATATATCAATATGTAATGTGCTTATCATATTACTAAACTTTGATAAGAAGATATAAAAGGATAGAATATCCAATCTACGACATTACAAATCAGCTTTAATATGAAAACAAATGCAGCATATCTAAAAGTACTATGCATCATTTTACCGTACAAGTATAACCTCGCTATCTTTGAAATAATGCTATCAGAACATAATTATTAACCAAACTGAGGTTGTTTGAGCTGCAGCTTCATTGGGTAAGGGCTCCCTCTAGCACGGAACCTTTTACCTGAGAGTTCAATCTCATAATGACCTTTTGATACAAAATCGTTGGTGACAATGTCTCGCTGTCCTGTCTTCTCATTCCGATTGGTCACCCAACCTATTACGACCATCTTGCCGAGTGTCGGCGCATAACCACTGGAGGTTGACATTCCAGTAAACTTGCTGTCCCGGTAAATCGGTTCTCCTCCCCATGGCCAGAGGTCATTATCAAGGTCATGATCTTCCAGAAGGAACATTGCTAACTTGGACTCAACTCCCTTGGCTTTCTGTTCAATCAGTGCTGACTTGCCAATGAAATCAATCTCCTGTTTTATATAAAAAGGCGGTTAATTATGCAAATTGCAACTTTGGGTAGAAGTATGTGGCTTAGGTCATCATGATTTGGATAGCAACTGATTTTACTGATTAGCTGCAAGTTCCCTGGAATCTTGTTTCTTTTAACCATTCTTTAGCAATCCAATTGGATAACGTACCTATAATGGACATTCAGTGATATTAAGTATTATGAAATGTTCACAAGAATGTTCATGTTTAATGTCATCATTGGCGGAAAACAATGAAATTGGTGAAAAATTAATTGTAAAAAAAAATGTTCTGTATACAAGAGAGCGAAAATCCTTGGAGTTAACAGCTAATGCTTGTAGTAGGGCTAGTTTAGGGCTAGTAATTTTGGCTTTACTTCATTGTTTATTTTTCTGCTGCCTGTAAAGCACATTAGTAATAGCTAGCAAGTTGAGTGAATAAAAAATGACAAAAAATCCAAACAATTTTAGCTGTTTTGAATGCTTACTTTATCAAGTTTTACTCTTGATTCTCTTCCAATTTCAAATGGAGTGTGACTTGAGTTGAAATCTTCTCCCCAGTAGCCAAAGAATTTCTCAGTACGCAACCACCTCAAAGCATAATAACCTGATTTACGGATGCCGAAATCCTGGCCTGCCTCCCACAGACGATCGTACAGTGGCAGAGCAAACTGGAGAAAAATGAATTTTAGTGAAAAAACAGGGGTGGCAGCTGTTGGGAAGGGCATATTTTCTACATATTAAAATAGTAGACTCTAAAATCGAATAAGTAAGACTTTAAACCCCCTAAGTTGTCATTTTTCAGTGGCTTCACCTCTTGGACCACTTTTGAAATATTTTGAGTGATGCCCGACGACAGCCACTTTGCTCTAGTCAGTGACATCGGCCCGTCGTCGGGGACCTAAGACCACTGTTAGGCAAACCCTGGCACCACCCCTGTGAAAAATTAATGAAGTATTAAAAGTAAATACCATCTCATAGTGTAAACATCCACTTTAATCAATCTATGTTTGGGCAGATTCAAAATTACCATATAAACATGATATAAAAATCAACACTTACCTCATTTGGTAAATAAAGGACAAATCCTGGTTCGCCAACATGTGTTATACTCATGGCTTTTACGTTGTTAGCGTAGCCGATGCTTATGTTCTAGGAGAATGACAATTTTCAAGGTCTGATTTGTGTACAAAATCACACAAAATCCACAAACAATTTAAGAGCACACAAATCTAATTTTATACTGCGTTGCTACAGTGATGTATCTAGGAGTATTCAAATTAGGGTGGGGTTGTGCGTCATGCGAAAGTGAAGTGGGAAGGCTTGATGAGTATGTGAGGGGTTGTTAGTCTGCAAAATAAGGTGATTTTTAACTACTTCAAACTTAAATATTTGCTTTAAAATTTACAGGAGGGGAGCAACTAAGTGGGGGATTTTTATCAGGGTGCTTGCACCCTGCACACACCCGTAGATATGGCAATGACAGCATAAAAATGTATTTCCACATTTCAATATACAGTACATACCTTGCAACAAAATGGCCGAAAGTCTGTAGTATTTAGCGACTCCAGCGTAAGGGTTTGAAGAAGTTCTCTAGCTTTTGGACCAATCACATTGATTCCTGAGTATTGGTTGGTAACATTATGCAAATGAACAGAACCATTATCGGGTAGATGTTTGGAGATCCAATGAAAAGCTCTGGTTTCTTGTGGAGTTGGCGAAATAATAAAATAGCTGGAAAGAAAACAGAGAATATTGTAATAGTTCTATGTGAGCATTTAGATGCATTAAATACTTCCTACTCAACAAACAGCAAGTGGAAGAGTGCCACTGGTCCAACCACCCGCTTTAGCCTTTCCAGTCTTATGGCGTCAAGATGATGCCCTCTTCGACCATACCTTATAGCGAGGGGCGTCGTACGTACGCCAAGTATAGCTTTCATGATAATTCTTTTATAGCTAGGCTGTCCTCTATAGGATTTTTTGAGTATGATGTAGGAGTATTTCTGTAGAGGGCCTCCTGTATTTAGACCAAATAAAATGCCTGCGCCCAGTGAAAACCCAACATTTAGTGTAGATGATGTAATTTCCCAGCTTTGGTACAGCCTCAGGCAATGGTAATGGGGCAGACTGGAAAGGGTTAAATACACACCATCTGACAACACTGAGGAGACTATTAAAGAGTTTGAAATCAGAAAGTTCAGAAAGGTTCAGTAAGTATGTAAGGAATGGAAACAACTAAACCATAAATTAAGTGTCATGAGTACAGTAGGTGTAGCTGGTGGTTAGATGCTCACCTCCCAATCCCAGGGCCCTGGGTTGAAATCCTGTCAGATCCCTGGATTTTTTCTCATGACAAACACAACTCCACTCCATAAGTCTCACTATGAGACTAAAGCCTGTTTTCCATTAGGCGAATTTATTTGCGGTTCATGCGCATGCACATTCACATTTTTATCGGAGTTTTTGCGAAGCGAAAAAATGCACAACCAATCAGAACTCAGGAAGCGAACCGACGCTTTTATATCAGGGTGGTGTGGGTTTATAGAACTTTTTCTGATTTGTTTTTGTGTTATTTCTCTCTTTGTAATGATTTAATGAAAGTTAACAAACATTACTTAACTCACGAATAAAATAAACAATAAATCATGCATAAGAAACTGAAATAATAGACAGCATTACTTATGTTGTGGTCGTTGATTAGTGATGAATATTGGGGTTTTTTTCTAAATTTAAATTTTGTTTACCTGAACAAAAAATACACGTTCTTGTTTATTTATTGATATAATATACATTTTTGCTTATAGACTCAAAGCTGAGCTGTTGATGAAGAGAATTCATTTATTTACTTTTAAAGACATGGCGTTTTTGTTGATTAGTTGTCTTTTTTTTTTTAAACTTGTTTATAATATGGATTTTTAAAAAAATAAAATAGAATTTTATTGAATATCCCATGGTTCTTTTTGTTTAAATACAGATATTCTCGTTGGTTTGGAATTTAAACTTGGAAGAAAGAGATGACAATGATTCTGGGAACGAAGAAGACCAGCCACCAACTTATCCATTTTCTGCCGTCAACCTTGATCACATCGGTGTAAGTATAGCGTATATTCCTATACCGTACTGACGATTATGGGCGAGACGAATAGTCAAGCGATAAGGCAGGGAGCCGCTACTGCAACTGCGAGTCAAGTGAAAATAATGAATAATAAAAATATAACAAATAATATGAGACACGACCCATTGTCTATATTAGAACACTTCTCATTGGGTAACAAAGTCGTAATTTTTCATTTTTGTCAAAAAGTGCCTATAGTGGTGAATTATGGTTTAGGTTTTTTTAAATAAAGTTTCAAAAATGTCTATGTATGTAGAAAATGTAGTTGATTACCAAAGGTTACAATTTTTATTTTGAAGACTGCATGGTCTAGGAAGTGTACATTTTTTTATGGGGCAAGTTTCCAAGGGCGGGTTTTCTTGGGGCGAGTTGACTGCCAAAGAGTGTTGCCAAAGTGCGAGCCAGCGTGTTATTTGATCACAAGTGCGAGACATCGCAAGTGTGAGCCAGCGAGCCATGACATCACGACAATAGAAACGAGACGTTACTCGAGTTGTGCGAGGTATCGGCTGAGATTTGTGGAGTACAATTCAAAAAACAACTATAGATCTAATAATGAATTATTGTGATGTTAAATAGACAATGTTAGCTATCAAGGAGCGACGTTGTTTTTCATTGGGACCTTCATCCCTTCAAGGCTAGGCCTATACCATCCTAGCTAGTCTAGGCCTAGAGTAGGATAAGGCTAGTGTGACATGCGGACGTTGGTATATGTTGGCTAGTCTACAAACGTCGCCTAAAGTAATTGATTTTACCCGGCAGAACGAAAGAAGGAAACTCCACTTTTCAGTCGTCTTAGGCCCTTGTTTTTTGACAAACAATGACCTTTCAGAGGTCAAATTGCTGTCAAGAATATGAATTGGCTGCTTCACAGCAACAAAAGAATATTGTTAATTTGGGACCACAGAATAGTAGTACATAATTGGAGGTGGTCCCTAAGTGGAGAGGTCTTTCATTGGAGGGAGACCAGCATTGTGTTTGCATCACACCTGTTTTCTTCCATCCTAGCCACACTGCAGTCGTTCTGAAAGTGACCATTTTCATCCAGCATTGGTGTGTGGACCAGTGTGCCAACATCAACATCCATCTCATTCGGACAAAGTCGTTGAAGAAACTCTGTTGCTTCTGATCCTTCAGACTAAAATTTATGGAAATTAATAAGATAAAATATACAAAACAAATACTTGAGAATATAAATTAATGTAACATTATCATAATATCATCATATTATTTTAATTATTTTACTTACAGAAAATAAAAATACAAGAGCACTTTGGGACCTGAACATTTGGGGTGGTTCCATGGTTCAGTTTCCACTTAGAGGGTTGGCTTTGTGTTATTAAATTTTTATTTTGGTTCTTTGAAAAAAGTGGTCTTGAATTAGAGGGATCCCAAATTGGAGGGTGCATTTCATACAAGTAGAGCAGGGCAGTGACAAACCTTTAATTCAAACTTGGCAAATGTTGACATGTCCATTAGACTAACAGAGTCGCGACACGTCCAGTACTCGGCTTTCACTTTATCAAACCAAACTGGTTTTCCAAACGTCCCTTTTTGATCACCAGTCAAGAATTCATCTATAAAAAAAAAAAATAAATTAGGTACTATTAAATAATCTACTCATGCATTAACTACTTTTAAATGTAGTGTTTCTTTGCATTAAGTTCTGTTAATGATCTTGAAGTTTCTTCAGTAATAACTTTTCATTATCTTCATCATCATCATCATCATCTTCATTATCATCGTCATTATCATCACTATCATCAAGACATCAGACTACTCCTGAGTTATATGAAATTCTTATAAGAAGTTTTTATAAATCTAAGATACCATGTACTGTAACCCCTGAGTTTAAGAAGATTTTTGGATGATGTTTGTATGTCGGACACATAAGACGACCCCTTGTTTCACCGTTGGAATTCCTCCTTTTGACATGAATCAATGGGACCAAACATGCATTGGCCTTCAAATTGCCATGAAAGTCCAAGGTCTGGGCTTGGCAAAGTTTATGGATTTCATTGTATCAGCATTTAAAAAACGAAAAACTGTCTTGCAAAACACCGAGCCAAATGAGTATGTAAACGTTATTCAAGACAAAAACTAAAGCAATGAATAAATAAATAATTATGATACTTATACTTATGATTTTAATTCAAATACATGCAGAGAGTTCTTTACATTTCTTTAAATTTTTATATTGCATTTTAATAATTTTATGTATATTTTTACGCTTTTATTTTACTTGAATCTAATAGCGTTTTCACTCTCCTGGTTTGATGCATGTGGTACCTTCTGTTTATTTACATTTAAAAAAAAATTTTATATTTTGATATATCTTTAACCATGCTTTTATGCTGAATTTTTTTATGTCCTTTACTTCCTTTTATTAACAAAATTTTAATTTTTGCATAATAGTATGAATTTTTATTTTAGCAAGATTTAACACGAAGAGCTCCTTGCTAGTGAACTTGTTTCTACTTTTGAGCAATCCTGTTGAGTTTTAATTACTTATAAAAGTTTTTTTTTTAATTGCTTGTATTTATATCTTGTAATCTTGTTTGGTTTATCAAGGAAATAAATGATATGATATATGATATAGCTAGCATCATTATCATTATCATAATTATCTGTATTACCATTATAATGGTGCCTTGAGAAAAAAATGTCCCCAATGAGATTTGAACCCATGACCTCCCATTACGAGTCCAGTGGTGATGCCTTCCCTTCATTTTTAATTGCTGTCTTTGATTTTTCTTTTTAAATAAATAAATTTGTTCATAAGAATGGTTAGTACTATGTTTTTGTGCCAATTACTATTACTGTATGACCACCTTTGCAATGTTCACCACTGAACTGCGACTGTGAATACGAGCTACTACCATTACCATACCAATTCTGCTGGTCATCGGACAACAGGCTTACCGCCACTTCAATGCTGACGAAGGTACCTCGAGGGTACTGAAACCTTCCAAAGTAATAAACCAAAAATGCTGTTGTTATCATCTGCATTGCTATTTGCAGTGTCACCCCTACAGTACTACCATGGAGAAAATAACTGATTATTTTCTCCATGGTACTACCTATCTCATGATAGTTTACCTTTGTCAAGATAATATTTTGGTCGTTCGTAGCCCATTGATTCACCGAAGACAGCACCGGCCTCCTGTTGCCTGACATAGAGTGGAGAGCATCTCTGATTGCGTCCATACTTGAAATCATCACCGGGGTAATTAAGAGCAAATTGGCGACCTTAAAAAAATATATATATATAAAAAATAATTGGCTATTTTCCCAAAGATTATATAATTCGTTTAACCTTGTTCTAGATATTTATTTTAATAAAACTATAATTATCTTACACAATGTAATATAAAAGAGTTACCTTTTAGAGTCAATGGCTCTATTTCTGCTCAGTCATTATCTTACATAATATCATACTGTACATAATAATATACAAGTACAGCTGAACTGCCTACTAATTTCACCTAATGCATAAAATATGTTAATGACACATTAAACATCTATCAGTATTTAATCCAAACAAAAATTAAAATTTTTCATAGGTAATCTATGTATACTTTTAGGCTTATAGCATGGAGGAAATAATAGTTAGTTAGTTCTTTATTTATTTGTTTCACACTCTCAGGTTAAAACAGAGACCAGCCAATTCTGGCTTATGAGTGAAATACTGGACATTTTTAAAACCCAAGCAAAAAACAAGATTAAAAATGTTTTAAAAACAGGATATACAAACATTTCTTAAAATATGATTTACTTAAACACAATAGACTGCCGTAAGGAGAGGATTTGGTAGGCAAATTTAGCTACCCTATAACAGTGGTTGCCATCGCTCATTAAAAAATTGAAATTGTCGTTTGTTGTTTAAGTCTGCAAAGGATGGGTTGATTTGGACAATATAATCGTACAGGTGGGATATGAAATCATTATAGTATAATATTACAGGTCTCCCTCTAATTAAAAACCCCTCAAATTAAAGACCACCTACAATGAAAGACCGCTTTTCTGTGGTCCTATATTAACAACTGTTTTTTATCTTTATTATTCTCAAAAATGGTCTTTAATTGGAGGGACACCTGTATTACATTTCTTAATATATTTCCTCTATGCTTATAGAGCTTCAGTAGTAGTAGGAGTAAAGTTACATTTTCCTATAGAATATTGTGTGTATGCATGCATTCATCACGTCAAGAGTAGTTGAGAAGTCAAAATATTCAGTAATAAAAGTAAAAGAAATGAGTTGGTATCACTTTACGACCAACAACATTTCATGTGCTTTCACCTTGATTAATGGCTTCATCAGATGTAAATGAACAACTAATACTGTAAAATATCCACCTGAAGAAGATCCATGTATTGTGGTGGAAGATCATGAAATATATTTAACTGTTAGTTGGATTGGATTTGATTTTCTTTGGTACAGCTAACCCAGTTCGTTTAGCTTGTGGTAGCCATTGCATGTGGGCACGTTAAATAATGTAGGCGATTGTCTCCCGGTGTATTGCCCAATCACCTGAAGAACCCCACAGGACATAAGTTTCAGAACGTTCGTGGATTATCCTTAGTGTGAATCAAATCCAATACAATGTATGTAAGTGATGCACGTTACATACCAACAACTTCCTTCACTCTGTCTCTCAGGAACAATTGATTATTGTGGCAATCGGTGAATCTACGAATGTCAACAGCCAAGATATTGTTCGGAGCTTTTCCGCTGACGATCCAATCAGCAAGGACGCTGCCAGCCCCACCGCTAACTGCAGCTCCACCAGAATTGAAACCAGTCATGACAAAGTAGTTACCAACCTACGATCAAACATAATCTTTAATCATTAATCATAATCAGTAATTCTAACCTTTATCATAATTTATTATCAGTAAATATAATATGTCTCGGCTATAAGCTCACACCCAACATCTACTCAGTTTTGTGGAGGAATCCCTTTTCAATCAAAAGGTAATTTTTCATCACTGCATGCCTATTTGATTTTTGAGCATTTTATGAAAGTCAGCCTATGTATACAGTCCTCATTAAAATTATACCCTGGGCTTTTACAAGAGGAAATACTGGTATGTAAAATTGGGCATAAAGTATAGGGTGGGTTTAATTCAATATGTTTATCATTATTAAATGTTTGATGTCAAAGAATATAATAATAGTAATAATTCCAGATTTATATAGCAGGAAGGGATCGCGTCCCATACCCGTAGGGGACGGAATTTTCAAGTCTCACATCTGCAAATTTGTCTATCTTGGAATCTCTGCTATTCCATGATTCACCTACCTCAGGGGACTCCCCCAAAAGGAATTTGCCATCAGGGGTGAAACTCTCAGGACCATTGAACAGCTGCTGGACTTCAACGGTTTCAGCAGATGGTACTCGCAGTAAGAAGCTATCTAGAGCTGGCTCTAAAAACATTTTGAAAAACAGCATTTTTTGAGAATTGTAGAAGACACTTATGCACTTATACGACATTGATTTGCTAGTACACAACAATTGTGTTTTTATACTACATTAATTTTCTAGTATACTTTAACATGAGATAAAAGAAGACTGAATAGCATTTTCCCTCTAATTTGCAGTACAATTAAAGGCCAAATATTAATCTACAATCTTTTAACTTAACGCTTACCCTCTAATATTGTAGACAAAACACTGAGACCACCAGCAATTTTCAGGTCCCAAAAGTGGTCTCAAATTTTAGGGTGAACCGTATAATTTCAGCATCGTATAGTATATAGCACAATCACAATGCACTGGCATGCAATGCAAAACAGAAAGATTGAGAACGGCCACTATAATTATTGCATGCATATAATTGGTTATTATGCAGCCAATCGTAACCCCATGCTTGTGCACATAGACTTACAGACAATACAGATAAATTTTATTTCATCCTTTTCATCGGAAAATCAAAGACATGATAAAAATTTTAAATACAAGTTTAATTTTAATTTCAATAATTATATAATTCGAGCTAGTGCCTATCTTCAAAATTTGCATTACCGTTTCTGATTCCACTAGGAAATGAATCTCAAGAGCGGTTAGTGCAAGCGATATCTGAATATCTATCTACTGAATATCTAGCCCTGGCAGACCGCATTCTACATCTCCATAAAAAAAACAAAAAAGAACTAGTGACAATTACAGAGTGTAGATGATAAGAAGGATCTTATAAAATCTTATTAAACTTCAATGCCACCCTGTCATTGTAGACAGAGCCCATCGACGGCACACACTGACTCACTGTTCGTTCAGCATGATTGACGATGCTTTTATGCCATTCCATATCTCCTTACATATTTTCCTTCCATGATATTTTCCATCCCAGCACAATAGACAATAACTCAAGGCACCAAAAATTTTAGAATTATAGAAAAGTGACTAAGATATCTTTATGAAGTTATGAATTTGCGAACGATAATTAGTTTCATCACACTTCCTAAAAAGACCAACTAAAGAGCTGTCATTCGCAAATTTAGTAATTAATTTTACCCTTAACGGAGTTGAGTGGGTGCCGAATTTACAGCTTGGTGATGCCAAGCTCTTCCCAACCAACAGTTATTGTGAATGGTCAGTACATCAGCCGACGATTAATACCGTTTTCTTTTGCAATAGGAATACAGTGTTATTAAAAATGCACATAGGTCTTATGGCACACTATGAGAACATCATCTTAAATATCTCTTCCGACAGACAGTAAGCTAAATTAATTTGGATTTCAGCCCTCAATCTGCAACATAAGGAAAGAGTTTAAGCAATGAAACTGAACCAGGGACACAAGACCTTCCATAGTTCAGTACACAGGGGTGTTATATGTATTTTTTACATATTTTTAGACTCAAAAATTGAATATATAGCCTTTGAAATCCCTCAATTGCAATAGTTTTTGTGGGCACGCGCACACACACATACACCTACTACCAGCTACCATACTCATGAAAATCACTTACAACATCGTAAAAATGAGAAAAATAATGATAAAAAAAGATGGGAATATTAAACAACCTTTACTTACGAAATTGGTCCCAGTCTGGGGGCAGTGATTCAAACATGAAAGGTGTAGGAATCCCCTTACTAAATATTGGCTTAGCCTTTGCCTCAAAGCACCCACATAGGAGACCTTGACTCCATTCGACAATATATATCCTTCCATCATAATCACGTACGTCTATATGGAAATAAAATGGACTTTAAATAGATTGACTTGATAAATAAAGATATTTACTGGTGGTGCTAAGTTGGAAGAAGTATTTCCTGAGTATCTGGATAAATTATTATTTTTTTTTTATTAAGAAACCTGATTTTGGTAAGGTAAAAGGTAAAGGAAGGAATAACCCATAAATTGCAGTGCCATCGTGCTGAATTGGGTGAATACCTAGCAGCCGTAAAGAGGCGCTTCATGGTAGCTACTGTACATCTTCACAACGACAGGGGCTGAAAAGAACCATAACATTGGGGTAACCCCACTACTCTTCTGAAAGATACAATGGGTTTTGAAAGTACACATAAGCCAGATGTATACACAGGACCTCCATTTTAAGCCCTTATCTGAGAAGACTTCGTTCTACCAACCGAACAATGGAAGAGGAGCGGCTAGAACCAGCGCCGGATGTTAAGGCTCTAGCTAGCGGCGCCCCTGCCTTACTGTTCGGTCACTTGACTTGCATGTAGAGTAATGCACATTTTCAGCTAAGATTTGGTGAGGCACTAGATAACATAATATGTTAGACCTTTATTTTTACTTATTATTACTCCCGGTTATTTGATCAAGCACAATACATACTCGGCTTCCTAGGCAGAATTCTATAGTGTTGCAGCTGTAATCATCAACCAGCGCACCCACTTTTACTCCTGGGTGGAGAGAGGCAATCGTAGGTGAAGTGCCATGCCTAAGGACACAAGTGAGATACACAGCGAGGGATTGAACCTTCGATCTCAAGGTTAAGAAGTAGAAGCACAGCCGCTAATAAGTAATACTGTAGTAAAATCATACAAATATGAATTTGCAAAAGAAGATACGTTAGTTTCTTGGGGATATCCGCTTGCTCACGGGAATTCCGGGAAACTGTACAATTTTTTGGCAAACTCTCATGACTCATGGGAAACTTAGGACAAGTATATTGTAGTAGTACTAGTAATAGTGCCTGTATTAGCATAGTATTGGTTGTTAGTTGTAGTAGTATATATATATTATATTAGTATATATGATCTTTATTAATTAGTACTGAAATAATTCTCTAGTTAAACACTGAATCATTCCAATAATCAATCTATTAATAAATCAATCAATTAAACAAATAATTATATTCACAAAGACATTGCTATTGACAAGAACAAAGTGATCAAAATGAAAATCTGAACTTTTAGCAGATACATACATGGCATAGATGGAGAAACCTCTTTTACTGCCTTTGTGATGATGTAATAGTGCTCGGCAGAATGAAGAGGAACTCTGACCTGCGGTGAGCTCTTCAATCCTACGTCTCGGCTCCACTGAGAATATTACAGAGCAACATTTAAAACAATATTAACGCAATAAAAGAAACAATGATGTGCTATCAGCCATCGTCACAAAAATCGTCACAAAACCACATTTTAAAAATTAGAAAATGAAATTTTACCGTACCTGTCCAGCAGCATTTACAAAGTATTCACAATTGACAATTCCATTATTAGTCTCAACGCCAGTCACTCTGTGATTCTTAGTCAATACCTTCTCAACCTCAACACCTTCTATAATTTTGACACCTGTAAATACATGAATGAGGATAGGTAGAATGCTGTCATGTTCAAACTAAAGTAAGGTTGCTGGCTATAATTGTAATTTGGAGTTTGTAGTGCCCATAGATCACAATAGTAGGTTTAGGGGCCCAATACAAGAATTCACATCCGGGAGATCTAGTTAAATGAACATTCTTAACATATCCAATTTCATTTTGCTCTGAATGGTGATACCGTTTGGCACTGAATTCCGTGTGACAATTGATAATAAAAAGTAGTAAATTAAAACATGCAAATATTATGAATTTGCAGGAGATTAGTTATTTTCCCGGGCGATTTTGCTTGCTTGCTAGAGTGTGGGAGGCTGTCCTGATTTCTGGAAGACTCTCGCTACTTGCGGGACTTGGAACCCCTGCAGTGTAGGTTTAATTATTTCACATTTATTACTCTACACCAAAAATATACAGTATTAGCAAGATAACCACCTGTTAAATACAGTTATAATGATAATGTATATAAGGCCACATAAAAAAGAACATGTTTCAAATTTTCTCTATTGTACATTTTTAGACCACCTTTACAACGTTTACATGGCAACCCAGGAAATTCTGCAGACACTTGTGGGTGTCTAGGCCTGGAATTATGCTTCTCCTATCTGTCAAAAACAGGATTTAAGCATAAGTTTAAATATAAGAACACATTGGTTTCTTAAATCATGGTCTGTTCTCTTTTCAAATCAAGTTGGTGACTGTTAAAGCATAGTGAAACACATGGGTCCTAGTCTTTCGCAAGTTGCAGGACTCGCTCGAAATTTCGGAAGGCCTAAGGCACTCCACAAGTGACCACGAATCTTCCAGAAAATAACCCGCATCCTGCAAATTTACAGTATTTGCATGTTTTTTTAAAAATTTTGTTTATGTCAAAGAAACATCCAAGAGGAACGCTTTGATCACACTTCAAGAAAAAAATGCTTTTTTACAAGTTTTACTATAATGTGTTAGTAATTGTCTCCCACAAGTGAGTGCCAATGAGTAACACTATCCAGAGTAAAATATAATCAGATGTGTTTTTAAAGTTCATTTAAAAACAAATCTCCTGGATGTGGATTCTTCCCAACTTGGGACCCTTGGTTTCTATTCTGGTATTAAATCTTGTCATTGAATTTCAACCACATTTATGGTACAAGAGACAAAACGATCACTTAAAATCCCTAAAAAATTCCTTAAAATATCAGTTTAATGAAGTTAAAATTTAAAAAAATAAGAGGCGTGATTTTGCATCAATGGAGAGAAAGGAAGCACAAACTGTTATGTAACAAGAATTGGGTAAATGAAGTATGCAAATTTATACTCACCTCTCTTTTTAGCAGCAGAAGCTAAGGCAGCTGCCGTGTCTGATATATTTGTTCGTCCGTCCCTTGGATGATAAACGCCCCCTACCAGGTCATCAACTTTAATATATGGCGCAAGAGATGCAATTTCTGATGGTGTTACGAATTGAAATTCTTCCCCTTTGGCTCTAAGTAGTTAAGAGAAAAAATTATAAAGAAAATGTCGTTAGCCATAAATAATAAAAAATGCTGGTACTAAGTTTTGTAAACATGGATTAATTTTTCATGTAAATTAAATAACTATGAATATACAAGATGAATGAATTATAGACACACTATAAAATAATCACAACACGATGGTATGCATTTCAATACTTGGAGTAAGTATTACACTTTCTTATAAAATAATATCTGATAAATAATTTGGAACCACATATCAATATTGAAAAATATGCTTACACTGTCATTGTTTACATACTACTTTCGTAATATACAATATTTTATTTTATTCATATAGGATGTAATATAGCGCACATATTTAGAAAACTGCCCCAGGCATCTTTTCCCTGGTCAGTGGATACACAATAAATCATAAGTAACGTGCAACCTCCTCTGCACCATGGGGAGTATTCCTAGTTATGCGTGTAATCAGCATTAATAATTTCATTTCTGAATTGTTCACCTCCTACCAGGTACCCATTTATACTCCTGGGTCAACAGAAGCGAAAATGCAGATAAAGTGTCTTGGTTTAGGACACAGCCGTGTGACGAGCATCGGTCTCGAACCCCCAACCTTCTGATTGAAAGCCCGACGCCTTACATGCTGCGCCACATGCTTCTACAAATCATCCTAATCACATCATAGTAATTTACTATTACCACAACTACCCCAGGGGCGGATCCATAATTTTTCAAACGGACAAGGGGGCACAACCTTTTCAAAATAGATAAGTAAATAGCGCTAATTTCAATATATGCATTGAAATTTTAAAATTTAGTGGCAAAACAGGAGGGCGGCACTTTCTCCTGTGCCCCTTACTGGATCCGCGCCTGTACCCTGCCACTACCTCCACACCTACAGTAAAAATATAATCAGTGTATATTACAACCATGGACCTATTAATAAGATCCATGATCCTATTAATAAGTCCATGACAAAACTATCAATGGACTGGCATACAATACACTTGAGAATTCGTAAACTTATACAGGGGCGGATCCAGAGATGTCCAAAAGGGGGGCCGAAAGGGGGTCAAAATTTGGGCCGATGGACTCAACAATGTCCTATGGGGTCCGCGAAATTTTTGTGTTCTAGACGCCCGAAAATAACATTTGAGGCGTTCTGGGCTATAATTTTTTTTCTTTTTTACATCCCAAAAAGAGGGGGGGGGGCGGCCCCCCGAATATTATTATATGACATAGTAATAGTACAATAAACAATATTGTGAAATTATTATTAGAGGTACTGTATACCTTAGCATGGAAGCAGAACGCTTCAGAGCAGTCATTCTGTCGTTTGTTTGAGCTACCGCAATTGAACCGTTGCGAAGAAAACCTGTTGTAGAAACAAAATACAGTAAACATTTTATAAAGGGTTGAACATATCAGCTTTTTTATCGATCTGTTTCTAATTATGTTAATAACTTACTTCGTACTTTTAAATGAGCTTTTCAAAATTGCAATTAAGTAAGGTTTTGCAGTTATATTTATTCGTGAGATTTTTGCGCTTAAGCATGTGAGAGACCCTGAATGTGTGAGTCTCACACCGAATGTGTGAGAGTTGGTAGGTCTGTCGTTATTTAATGTTGATAGAGAAATTCTATGCATTGTACATTTATCTAGCAATTTACCTGAGCTCATTCCTGTTTCTTCTTCCAGGCTTTCATAAAGATTGCTACTAATTTTACGACAGTTAGCGACAAACTCAACTGAATCGTTGAGTCCAACTAGGCCAACAGAGTGCCATGTCGTTCCACACGTCAACCTGAGGATATGAAATGATATGATGGCATATAAAAAAATTTTAAGAAATAACAATATGGGCAGTGAAGTTTTTGGGTTCACTGCACTCTTGTGATGCAGTAGACATTGTGCGGAAGAACTGAAGGTTCATAAATAACTTGGCCCTTTAATCTTGTTACTTTGGGTGCCGCTACATTCCAAAATGGGGTGTGCAGTAAAACTTCAAACATGACTCATGTGAGGTACCTACCAGAAAGAGGAGTACAAGCTGATAACAGTTGCAAGGGTGTAGGCTAGTTTTGGTCTGAGGGCAGCAAAACCAGCCTGGGGGTAATGGAACAACCTGGGGGTGTGAAAATTGAGAATGCGGAACTAAATCCCTATTCTAATGAAAACTTAATGGTAATATTTAGTATTTTACCCCACTTAGTGGAATTAATTTGTCATCATGGGCCAGGGTGCCGCACCCCAACATTCCAGGCGCCTACACTTATGCATTCAAGAAGATTGTAAGTTATACCACTTCAAGTGTATGAAATTGAGTGGGAATATAATCATTTTGAGTACAGAGCTGAACCTAACATAACAATAGACATACATACATCTTACAACTGCCATTTGACTGTTATAAATCTATATACTACGTCTGTACTAATTACTAAATAAAAATTATAGTAAAAGTCATCTTAAAATCTTCTGTAGGGGATATTTATGTCTAAGGTAAAACTTAATCTAGAAAGATTATGGAGCGTGTATATAATTTTTGTTCGCAAAGCATGCATTATGCAATATAGCAGTTTATATGTCTCACAACATAAATATGACATTATGAAAACAAAAACACTGAGAATTCTGATTTAATAATTAACAAATAACCACGTACTTTCCTTGTTCCAACAGCACCACATCTGTCCAGCCTGCTTTTGCCAAATGGTAGGACAATGAAATACCTGCTATTCCACCTCCGCACACAACCACCCTGGCTTGATTTGGAATGCTAGTTCCTGTGTCTGTATTACAAGATGCAGCACCACATCTCAATCGAATTTGCACTCCATTTGAGGATGTTTGAAACGCTTTTACACCCCACCTGAACGCTGTCAAGAAATGAGACCTCATTCTTTGCCAAGGACGTCAGAGGAGCCCCCCTCTACTAGTCCACCATGACATGTGGCAAACTCAGAATTAGACAATGCCAATTATCAAAGGGTGTTTTGATTCAGCTGAAAATAACCACAATAATTTTAATAGATAATCAGTAGATTTATTCATATCTGTGAATGTTTACCTTATAAACACCATATCATCCAGGGTCGTTTTATCTCAGACCCTTCCTATCAGAGTAGTGCCAAAGTGCGAGCCAGCGAGCCATACATTTTTTTTTTTTCAGGTTATCCAGTTTTGCAAACAAGCTGGCCTAACCTATATTCTATATATTGTATGTATGTATGATACATACATACATATATATATATATATATATATATATATATATAC